ATCCCCGTAAGCTGATCGATCTAGGATAGAAGTCAGCAAACATTGTACATTCGTGACGAGCTGACGTGTGCGTTTAGTACACTACTGCCTGAAGTTTCATTCCCCTAACACGCATCTTTTTGGCATTTGAATCCTCATGAATCCACTCTTCTGCCTACAGTGTGTCTTCGAGACAGTCAAGAGACACTGAATATCTTCTTGGTGCTTGAATTTTTCAGAGGTCTTCTTGGCACTGTTCTGTCTCCAGGGTGTTGTCGTGACAGTTAATTGCCACTGACTATCTTCTTGGCATTAAAAGCCTCCATAGCATGAGTTGGTATTCTTCTGTCTCCAGGTTGTCTTGGTGGCAACTATTTGCTACTGAATATCTTCTTGGCACTTGATCATTTCAGAGGTCTTCTTGGGACTCTTCTGCCCCCGTGAATGTCTTTGTATCAGTGAATTATCACTGAATTCTTCTTGGCATTGAAAGGAACCAGATGTCTTCATGGCATTGGAAGCCACTGAATATCTTCTTGGCATTGAAAGCCTCCAGAGCTCTTCTAGGAACTGTTCTGCTCTCAGAACTTTGTGACAGTCATTTGCCAATGAATATTTTCTTGGCACTGGAAGCCACCAAAGGTCTTCTTGGCCCTCTTTTGCCTCCATGATGTCTTCTTGACAGTGAACTGCCACTGAATATCTTTTTGGCGTTGGACTCGTCACGGTATAGGTGAAATATTGCCGATGTGACGAAAAGCATTAGCGCACTCACTCTTGGCATTAGATGCCACCAGAGGTTTTCATGCCACTCTTCTGCCTCTAGGGTGTCCAAGAGATAGCATGGAATTTATTTACCTCAGAGGTCCAAAAGGTTTGAAATGTGGATCATGAAGAAAATTGATTATATTATCAAAAATTCAATTTCTTACAAATTGTATCTTACAAATTGTATCTTTCCTCACAGTATGCCAATAAAGGCATGACTCAGCAAAAAAAATTAGCCCATGTGATTAAGGAAAATGCGATAAGTTTCTTACAAATTGAGAATGACTAAAGTTTTTTGGGTATTGAAGTGAAGGTATGGGCATATACTTTATAAAAGAACACAATATTGCACCCACTATATCAAAATGTCTTATCTGTGATAGGAAATATCAGAATATTTATTATTTTGTTTGCAAAGTACCATCTTTTGTTTCTTTTTACTTCTGTAATATAAGGTTTTCATTTTCTCAGTAATTTTGCGTCAAAAGCCCAGCATTACTGAAACAATTGTATTCATTTTCAATACTTTCAAGTGATTATTCATAAAGATTTAGAGTTTTATTCAAAGGAGTCAGAATGATTTATTTTTGGCAAAGGGAGATAACTCAATCCTAAAATCATAAACTGTGATATTTTAGGCAGTTCAAGTACAATTAATGTAATAAAAAGATTTGAATAGAGTTAATCAATTAACCTTTCTTATGAATAGTTTTTAGTATATAAAAATCGAGTCTGGACCAGACAATCAAGTGAGCATCGATCCACGCAATTGGGATACGATGACATGCATCAACCAAGTCAGCGAGCCTGACCACCCGATCCCGTTAGTCGCCTCTTACGACAAGCATAGTCGCTTTTACGGCAAGCATGGGTTGCTGGAGACCTATACCACCCCGGATCTTGACGGATGAAATTTTGGAGCCCGATAGTCACATGTTGTCGTTGTACAAAGGCATAGAAAACTATTCATTGTCATGTCACATAAGGCCACAAGGTTTTGCTGATCTCAGTATATCGGGTGATCGCCCCGGACAGCAATCACGGCTCTGCATCTCCTCGGCACTGACTGGATAAGAGTACGAATTGTGACCTGCGGAATTCTGCGCCATTCTGCTTTTAACGCGTTGGCCAGTTGTGGGAGTGTCTGTGGCGTGTTCCGACGTTGAAGTACACGTTGATCGAGTTCATTCCAGGGGTGTTCGATTGGGTTGAGATCAGGAGATCTCGACGGCCAGGGCAAAACGTTGATGTTGGCTTTATGCAGGTAGTCTACCATGACACGAGCTGTGGGCGGTGGCGCGTTGTCCTGTTGAAACAGCTCCCTCTGGCGGCCAATGATTGGAAGAAGGTGAGGTTGAAAAATTTGATTCATGTAGCGATTTGCTGTCAAATTTCCCTGAACTATACAACCAAGTCAGATCTCGTGGTGTAGGATATGGCCCCCCGCACCGTGACACTACCGCCACCGAATTAATCGGATTCACGTACACAATGTGGGGCAAAACGCTCATTTCGACGACGCTAAACACCTTGTCTTCCATCTCGCCGGTGAAGAAGAAATCGTGATTCATCGCTAAACCACACTCGCCTCCAGTCTCCCCAAGGCTGTAAGGTATGACACCAACGCAAGGGTCGCTGTTGATGGATCTGTTGTAAAACAGGGACGATAACTGGTCTTCTGGGTTGGATTCCAGCCTCGCGAAGTTGGTTGTTGAAAGTTTGGTCCGATATCCGGGTCAAACCAGGGATGCGCCCTGCAGTCTCAGTAGTTGTGGCATTGCGATGACGTAGTTTGAACAGTCAAATGTAGCGACCCTGTGCAGGGGTGGTAACTTTTGGTCGGCCGATTCTCGGACAGTCTGCAGTGCAACTGAACTGTGTGTATCAGTCACAAAGGCGGCAAATGGTGCTGTGGTGGACGTTTGAGTGGCGTGCAACAGAACACTGCGATTCCCCTCTTTGATACGTCCGACGGCGATGTTCCGATCGACAGCCCTGAGTCTCGGCATTTTCGAACTCGAAAAATGTTGACAATTGAAGGACAAATTATTGGCTTATGATTGCCTTTTTATAGCCACTGCCACGAGTTACGAATGTTACGTGCATTTTGCTACACTGTTTTCCTCCATGACATTTTTTAACAAGTGTGAAAACAATGCCGTTTAAGACATTGCAAATCGACAATGGCTGCGTTTTGACGCACCATTTGTCGAATATCAGGCCAACATTTTCCAACAACATATATCCAATTTATATACCGGATTTTTTTGTGTTGTCAGGTTCAATGAACAACATACTACCTGTGCGTCATTGTTTTAAGAGTGTATATCAACACTCGTTGATAAAAGTGGATAAACTCCTCGGAAAGCCTTGAAGTTTTTCCACTTTTTCAGCTCGTGTTGATATATTTGATATCAAAAGACACACGGGTGAGATTCCCTATATATCATACCGTTATTTATGTACTTTTCCACGAATAGGCGATGGTTGAATAGACATAATAAAAGTTAACAACAATTCTTTCAATTTTCAATTGCATAAAAGAAACATAGGTATACTTTCTTTTGCCCTGCAGTGTAGGTTGTATTCAACATCGACATTCAGAATTAAACTAAGGAATTCACGGAGATTCATGTAACAGATTTAGCGTACAGGGGGTTTGCTCCGAGCTGACTCCTGCATCCCTTGAGAGATTGTGATATGAATCCGGTGAATAATATGACCTGAGGAACATCAGGCTACGTCTTAGCATTGTCCTTGTTTCAGCTTCTGTTAGATTACCAACTCTTAAAACATTGTCAGTGGAGTGAAATGTAAGCACAGTATTGAACATCAAAGTTAATTGATCACATTAAAGAAATAAACGATGAGTGTGAGTTGTTTATCGTGCAATAAAACACTGCAGGGATACGGTGGCCCATACCCGCCACTGGTGAGATCATTTTTCACTGTATGCCTCTATATTGTTTCTGGCGGCCGCCAGATACCTCCACTGGTGAGATCATTTTTCACTGTATGCCTCTGTATTTTATCTGGCGGCCGCCAGATACCTCCACTGGTGAGATCATTTTTCACTGTATGCCTCTGTATTTTACCTGGCGGCCGCCAGATACTTCCACTGGTGAGATCATTTTTCACCGTATGCCTCTGTATTTTACCTGGCGGCCGCCAGATACCTCCACTGGTGAGATCATTTTTCACTGTATGCCTCTGTATTTTACCTGGCGGCCGCCAGATACCTCCACTGGTGAGATCATTTTTCACTGTATACCTCTATATTTTGCAAGATACTTTTCGTTTCAAATTAGCATACCACGTGTGACCAGAATTACTTCCAGATCAGTGCCCTGGCAGTCGACAGGTTGGAGATTGTATCCGTAAGATTGAGCTTTGATTCTTAAGTAGGTATCACCTGCTTGATGAGCCATTAGCGGCCGCCAGGTAAAATATAGAGGCATCCAGTGAAAAATGATCTCAACAGTGACGGGTGTGGGCCACCGTACATGGAGAATAAACTATGACAAATACCAAACGTAAATCCCCCGTTCATAAAATGGAAACAGGAAACGGTCTGAAAAAATAAATGGCTTCAAACATGTGAGACTGAATGGTTTGTTAGCACTTTCGTTAATATTATAAATGCCCATATATTTAGGCTTACTTTTCATTAACGTTAATTGTTAAACACTCGTCATGCAAATTGTACCACAGGACACTGCGCTCTTTCTTTAGGCTTCGCCTATTTCTTATCATAGTTGCTGAACGTTACAGATATTAAAACAAAACATATGGAGCTTGAAGTATAGGTCATACTTATTCTACAAATAGCATTATCGCAATATCAAATTATTAATGTATGTAAACAGAAAGTGACATTTCTTGATGCCGTTAGACTTACATCTAGTCTGTGAAATCAGAGACCATATAATATGGTCTCTGATATAATAGAATGTATTATATGGTCTCTGCTGAAATGAATATATCTTACAGAAAAAAGTTGTTAAATTATCTTAATAAAAATAGAATATAAAGGAGTGCAGACACTCTCTTCATTTTCCTGATACCGCTGTATTATAGACTTGCATGGGCTTTATTGGATATATTTGTTTCAGGGTCTGTATGATCATGGTGACCGACAAGGTTGCCGTATCAACCTCACGTATATATTACGTACGCATCAATCAATGCGTGTTCATTTTAGAGTTACTTGCCCCTTGATGATCTACCAATGATAACACGCCATTGGAAATCACGCTCTTGACAGCGAAAGTTGTTTGAAAATGGCGTCCTCAATAGTTTCACGGTAACCACTTGATATGATGGATTAGCCTCTACACAAGCCATGTAGTTGGAGATTTGGTCAGCGTGATTGTTTCAGCTGTAAATAGTTACGACATTGCTTTTAATCCAATGATGAGGAAAAATTAATCCAGAAGAAAGACACAACCCAGTGATACAGTTTCAACTCGATCAAGCAGGTGCGTGTTCAGACATCAAAGGTATTGAAATTTGACCAGTGCGGAAGTGCTTTATTTGTCAGTCATAGGTGCGTCTTTCTGTGATAGTTGGACGTCTGTTTGTCTCATGAGATTGGGTTTTAGGAATGTTCACTAACAATGTATTAAGTTAAGTAACTTTGCTGCATTGTGTCCAGTGTAGTTGTGAGTTTGCACTCAAAACGAACTACCGTATTCGACGTAATAAACGACCCGCTCTAATAAGCGCCCACGGCGATATTTGCTAATATATTGGCAAGAGAACAATCCCAATTAGTACCCTTCCCATTGATCAATGTACACAAGACTTATTTATTCGCGTATAATATACACTCGTATGTTATATATATGCACCCTTAATTATGGGCAATTAAATTCTGGAGAAAAAAAATCTCTCGCATATAAACATTTCAGTCTGTCAGCATAAACCACGAAATTTATCTTTTAAGTCTGTGTTTTCCACCAAGATAATATTCTAATAAGAGTCCCAATTTCTAATTTTGAGAGAGCCCTGGCCGCTTATTACGTCAAATACGGTTTTAATATAAAGTAGTCAGTTAGGATACTTGAGAAGACCCGTAAACCAAACAAAATTATGCACCTGATAAAAAACAGGGTTGCTTGAAATATTGCAGTCGTAAAATTCATTAATAAATTGCCAATAAATAGCCAGAGCTCCAGATAACTTTTTGAGCAATTGAGTTTTTACTCTAGGTTTTCTATTTAAATTGGGTTATTAAATTGTTATTTGGGTTACCAATATTTTTTCATTCATCTTTTCATCACTTTATTGGGTTTTTCCCCAAAAGAGTGAACATTTTAAGATTTCAAAAGAATGGAATAATGTTTAAGATGTATATTTATAACTGTTCTAAATATATAGGCTTGACTTGGAAAGTAAATTATCTTGTAATTGTGTTTCAGAAATAAGCTCCTTTGTGTGCATGCTGAAAAAGCTTCATTGGGTATTTACGCGAGCTGTTTTATACATTTTAGTTTTTCATTTAATGCATGAGTTTCTGTACACAAGTTTATTGAAAGTAATTGGGTTTTGAATATTTGAGGGGGTATTTTACGCAAATACGCTTGCTTATCTGTAGCTCTGAATATCCGAAAATATAATAATTCATTATTAGATTCTAGGCCACAATAAATCAATTGTTTATACAGGGTTTTTTCCAAATACTCTACAATGTGAGAGGATCCCGGAGAGTAGGGCTGGGATGGGTAACTCAGGTTCTCGGTTGGGTGGGTACTGAGTAGGACCCGGGTACCCGCAGGAATTCCCGGACCTGTGGTTTGTAACGTGATATATTGTTTAATGATAAAAATTATTGAGAACTCTATGGTTACACATACTATTAGTCACTAATGTTCACATTTCTTCCTGACTATTCGGGCTGTGTATTGACCTGGATTTTGTATTGCAATATGTTGCCATACTTTAACCTGAATTGTGATACGTATTGCAATACAATAAAGTCAATTTACTTTATCATGAGTTAATCAAGAGTTATACCCTGTATTGACCTCCTCCGTGGTCTAGTGGTAGAGTGGAGAGCAGAGAGCTGAAGGTCTGGGGTTCGATCCCCGGCCGCGTCATACCAAAAGCCGTTAAAAGATGGTACTTGTTGTTACCCTGTCTGGCGCTCGGCATTAAGGGGCTAAAACAAGGACTGGTCACATCGGAGTCAGTATACTGTGTCTGAGTGGGATATTCATGTTAAACTGCGGCATGGTATCTCAGTGAGCTAGCACTATAAATCGGCATCAGTCCGGACTAGTCAATCGGCAAGCAGCCACACAAACACACACACGTACATGCACGTCGCAGAAGACAAATTTATTTGACATGATAACAAATAACTTTCACTTAACTTAACAATTAGTCTTCACTGTAATCAAAACAATGCTACATCAAACATATAAACACTTACATTCTCAATTATCAACGAATATCTGCACATATTTATTTATATTATTTGTATATTTATTTAATATTTGTACACTACATGGTTTGTTATTCAGTATTGTATACAAACCTTTTGTATATGTTTCTGTAACTATAACATGTCAAGCTGGGGGCACGGGTGGCCCAGTCGTCTAAGGCGCTATGATTCACCTTGGGCACACCAGAAACCTCTGATTGTGGGTTCAAATCCTTGTTCGCCCCGATTATGTTTCTCGGTTTGTCAGCACCATACCCATGCTCGTGGGTTTCACCAAAGTGGTAAACGTCTGAGACCTGCATCACTTCGGCCTTTCCTCCCACATTAAGCTGAGACGCCGTGATATAACTGGAATGATGTTAAAAGCGGTGTTAAACCCAATTCACTGACTTATGTCAAGCTAGTCATTGTGAACATTATTATACACACAAATGTATGGGGCTCGTCATATATACCCTGGCATCAGAATCGTTGAATTAAGGAAAAGCAAAACAGATGACTGGTAATATCTTATAATGGTGTTCAGTGTTCCTATTTACCGTTAATTACCATTTTGTTTCGTGTAAAATTAGATCTTGGATCTGTAATTCATGTGACTGTCAGTCCCTGTGGTCTGGCATATAAAGTACCTCATAAATCTTTGTTCTTGAACAAAGGATTCGGTGTAATCACTAAAGTGTATTAAATGTACAGAGTCAGCTTGTCTGTTATCTTCAGGGTTTACTGTTCCCATTTTTAGTGCAAGGAAATAACATTTTGTTTTGCTTAGAGGTTATATATCTATCTATTTAGTCTCAAACTAAAGTGGAATGTTGAATATGATGTTGAAAGAATTACAAACAGGTCGTTTTCATCCATTTTCTTTTTAGTTCAAAGTTAGGACTGAGAAAAAATTGAAGGGACTGGTAATTTTTAGAGTTGCCAGTCCAACAGGACAGGCAGTTTCCAAAGCCAGTGTGAACACTGGAGTCTAGAAGCACAGGTATCAATGTACTGAAAACATACAAGAATTTGAAATCAGGAAGAATTCATCTGTATAATTGCTAGGATGGGAGATGATGCTGTCAGCATGATGTAGTAAGCATCTGTTAAGCCTTAAATGTCAGCTTCCGGGGTAGAATAGGTCTTCAGCCAGCCATGCTTGCCGTAAAAGGTGACTATGCTTGTCGTAAAAGGCGACTAACGGGATCCGGTGGTCAAGCTCGCTGACTTGGTTGATGCATGTCATCGATCCCAATTGCGTGGATCGATGCTCATGATATTAATCACTGGATTGTCTGGTCCAAAATGGATTATTTACAGACCGCTGTCATATAGCTGGAATATTGCTGAGTGCGGCATTAAACAACAAACCAAAACCAAAAGCTTAAATGTCAGCAGAGGATCTGTTAAATATCTGTGGTTTTACCTGTCAGAGGGAGTCAGGAGAGGGCCACCAAAATGTATGACAGTTCCTGGGGGAGGGTCATGAAGATTAGTACACGTTAGGGCTGCGATGGGTGTTTCAGGCGCTTTTGTCAGGTGGCTTCCTCAGTACCTCCCGGACCCGTGGTTACCGACGTGATATGTTGAGTAATGAAAAAAACTCACTTTAGCTCAATGATAACACTACAAGTTGCTAATGTTCGCATTTCTTACTGACAATGCTCACTTTCCTTTTGACTTGTATATGTTTGGATAAAGGTAAAGCTTCAGTTATCTTCAGTGTATGCATAAACTCTGTAAAGGTTATTTGGGCAATACCGATAACCATATAATATACTGAAGCTTGCTGAGGAGAACTCGTTTGTTACCACATGTTTGTTGTTTAACGCCGCATTCAGCAATATTATATTCCAGCTATATGACGGCGGTCTGTAAATAATCGAGTCTGGACCAGACAATACAGTGATTGACATCATGAGCATCGATCCACGCAATTGGGATCGATGTCATGCATTAACCAAGTCAGCGAGCCTGACCACCTGATCCCGTTAGTTGCCTCTTACGACAAGAATAGTCGCTTTTTATGGCAAGCATGGGTTGCTGAAGATGCCTTAGGCTTAAAAACATAACAGCTTTGGTTCTCAGGCACCACCCACATCATCATAAAGTTCACCACACTTTTTTTATTTCCATTTTAAAAACAAAACAAAAAAAATCCTTAAATATTCCAAGTCTAACGGCAAGTAAGATACTGTATTCCAGTATTTTACTCATCAAGGAATATATTTTTGTAGGGAGGCCCTTTCCCAGAGTAATTGTACACAACTGTTTATTTGGTTACATACCCGGTACTAGTTTGTACAACCAAAAACAAAAGAAAAAACCCACAGCCCGTCTGCGCTATATTTTCAAAAGCCATTGCCTGAGAACCAATTCTTTTAGGTTTTAGCGTAGTTGGTGCATTGCACAGATTAAAACTAGTCAAATACGGACGAATGGCAAATGTTTAATAAGCGAGCAAACATTACAATATACCCTCATGATTAATTGTTACCATACCATGCCTATTTATTGTCAAAAACATTCTTTAAAACACTGTTAAACTTATATTTACCATATCCGGCAATATCACACCAGAACTCATCAATTCTACAAACAAGCTCTACGGCACTTACTGGTTTGAAAAAGTATATCAAGTACTCTTCTGATAATCTGATAATGGTAACTGTTTGTGTTGTAGCCATCATGGACGCTGTGTAACCATGGTAATGGTTTGTGTTGCAGCCAACATGGAGTTTGTGTAACCATGGTAATTGTTTGTGTTGCAGCCACCATGGACTTTGTGTAACCATGGTAACGGTTTGTGTTGCAGACACCATGGACTTTGTGTAACCATGGTAATTGTTTGTGTTGCAGCCATGATGGAACCAGTAGACAAGGTCCTGATACAGCAGAACAAGATCAACAAGATCCAGGGTCAGATCGAGAAGGTGGAGCAGCAGATGATGGAGCAGTCGTCGATCCTGGGCCACATCGAGCATCTGCACGGAGTGGAGGAGCAGAGGACAAAGCGCATCATGGTGGGGAGATTCGTACCAAATATATATAAAATATTCCGTAAATCCATGAATAGTCACCTGCTTTGAATATAAACGCTAGATCAATTGATGTACTAAACAGAGTTTCAGATGGCCTTTCGGTCAAAGGTCATAGACCGATACAATTTCAATTTGACTGATGGTTTGTTAAAGTTTGACTTTTGACCGATAGAAATGCTAAGCAAGTCATCACACGTTTCATAATTTCATAATTAAAAAGTAAGTAGTGAGGATTACTCATGCTTACATAATCAATTAAAATATCTTACAACAAAACAATGCACATCCATCAAAATTTGTATTTGTATTCGTCCTTCTGTATCATAGGGAAACGCTTTCAGGAGCTATAGTGACTTAGTCAAGCCCTTTTCTTAACGCAACGTTTCATTGACCAGATTGTATATATTCATCCAATCATGAATGGTATTGCATTGATTTGTTGTTGTGCTTCGTCTGCCCATGGACGTAAATACATTCTATATACGTCTTTGGTCTGCCTTTTTGTTGATTTTACTTGCTGACTTTTGCCATTGACTTGTTGCATTTCTTGGGTCCAAGTCATTGACCTACAAACAGCTTTTTGTGTCAAATCACTGCGAAAAGAAAAAAACATCTCCCTTGAATAAACACCTGACCAAACTTTTCAAGGAAAATAAGACATTTGAACAAAACTGAAAAGAACTGACCCTAATGCCTCACTGAAATCCTAAATGCCAACATGAAGGATGGGTCCGAGAACGTTAGTAGTGCAGCTGGATTCCTTGGTACAGTGTATTGCGTATTAAGGTCCTAAGGTGCCGCAATTGGCTGTGCAAAGTTGCATCTCTAGATGTATCCTGCCGTGTGCATCCTTTCTTACGACTGGTGTTAACCCTCTAGCACCCCACTTGCAGCTTGGGTTGCATGTGTACTCCCCAGGTGGCTGAGAATGAAATTCAAGTGCACACTGATCCAGTGACCTTTGTGATAAATAAGATCTATGGTGTCCCAAGCACATTTGAGCAGTTATAATCGAAAGTGCTCTATATATAATAATCAAAAGAATGTTTTTGGAATACAGACAAGAAAGCCTTGACCCTGTGAACATTGTTGAGGGGCATGGTCTCTCAATGTGCATAAGGGGCGGTTGGGTAGCCTAGTGGTTAAAGCGTTCGCTCGTCACGCCGAAGACACGGGTTCGATTCCCGACATGGGTACAATGTGTGAAGCCCATTTCTGGTGTCCCCTGCCGTGATATTGCTGGAATATTGCTAAAAACCGGCGTAAAACCGTACTCACTCACTCACACTCAATGTGCATATAGGATTGGGTATGCCAGAATGGGCTAAGTTCAAGACTCTTCATTAGCAATGGGGGTGCATGGGAGGCCAATTTGTCTATTACACCAAACATCTAAGGCGTTGCAATTCGTTGTGCAGAGTTGCATTCTCTAGGCATGCCACAAACCTATGAATGAGGGTTTGGATCCTGGTTCGCTCTGGTTATGTTTTTAGGTTTATCAGCTCCGTAGCTTGTGGCTTTCACCAAAGTGGTTCATGTCTGAGACCTGCATTACCTCGGGTTTTCCTCTCACATCAAACTGACATGCCGTGATATAACTGGAATACTATTGAAAACGGCGTTAAACCCAACTCATTAACATTGGAGTCCCCTTGTCATTTCATTACGTCATTACATGTGTGTGTTTCTTCACAGCATCGTCTGGGCAAGAGAAACTATGTCCTGAATAACGAGGTGGAGAGACTATATGGGAAACAGAACACCAGGAGATTCAGTAAGTCCCTCTAATGGCATCGTGGCTGTATAGGAAATCAGTGTGAAAAGGCTTGCCTGGTAGTTGTTCCAGAAGTGATATTGCTGTTCAATTATCTTGCTGGCTCATTCAGTATTTTTTAAAAACAACCAATATTATATAGGGGTGACTATTGGTCTGGAAATCGCTGTTGAGATAACTATTGATATTGAAAGAAACTATTGCGATAACTATTGATATTGAAAGTAACTATTGTGATAACTATTGATATTGAAAGTAACTATTGCGATAACTATTGATATCAAAAGAAACTATTGCGATAACTATTGATATTGAAAGAAACTATTGCGATAACTATTGATATTGAAAGAAACTATTGTGAAAACTGTTGATATTGAAAGAAACTATTGCGATAACTATTGATATTGAAAGAAACTATTGTGATAACTATTGATATTGAAAGAAACTATTGTGATAACTATTGAAATTGAAAGAAACTTTTGCGATAACTATTGATATTGAAAGAAACTATTGCGATAACTATTGATATTGAAAGAAACTATTGCGATAAATATCGATCGTTTTCAGTGTACCGTTTTAGATGGATTTTAGAGTTGAATTTAACCTTGGAACTGAAGTTTCCTTTGAATGTGATAACCATAGCAACAAATAAAAAGTAAAGTTTGAGATATGTCTGATTTGTTTTTTCTGTACCCTAATAATTTAAGAAAAAGAAACTTCCACATGTGTAAATTTGAACAGCATTGCATGTATTTTATTGATATGGTAAATACAATCGATATTCCTAACTGAAATCGATACTGTTGATCTGAAACTGATTTAACAATCGATTTATTGACTTAAAGTGCTTAACAATAGCAATATATTGATATTTTGATTTATCGTGATAATTCCTAACCCATAACTTATTATTAATTTCTGTCTTATCCCGGGCATTATACATGTTATCTGGTTCTTGGCGTGGTGTCATTACCCGTAAAGACCCTCGAAGATCTGGGGTAGAACAGGTCTTCAGCAACCCATGCTTGCCGTAAAAGGTGATTATGCTTGTCATAAGAGGCGACTAATGGGATCGGGTGGTTAGGCTCGCTGACTTGGTTGATGCATGTCATTGATCCCAATTGTGTGGATCGATGCTCATGTTATCAATCACAGGACTGTCTGATCAGGACTTGATTATTAATAGACCGCCATCAGATAGCTGGAATATTGCTGAGTGCAGCATTAAACAAAAAAACAAAAAACAAATGTGACTTCTCTGAATAAGGGTGAGCTTCTGTACCTGTAATACTCTGGTTTTAGCTACGATGGAGATTCATTGTTTGGGTAAATTATGATGAACAGAGCCGTTGCATATTGACTTGAACTGAAAATCATCTGGAAGGTTGTTTTTGACTCATGGAAAACTTTCCCATCTGTTATTTAAGGATTACCGTATTCGACGTAATAAGCGCCCAGGGCGCTCTCAAAATTAGAAATAGGGGGCTCTTATTAAAATATTATTTTGGTGAAAAAAAACAGAGTTGAAAGATAAATTCGTGGTTTATGCCGACAGCCAGAAATGTATACTAGTATGTACGGCAGAACATATTTCCAAAATTTCCAGAATTTAATTGCCCATAATTAATGGTGCATATAACATAGGAGTGCGTATTATACACGAATGAATAGGTCTTGTTTACATTTATCAATCGGAAGGGGTGCTAGTTGGGATTGTTCACGTGCCAATATATTTGCAAATATCACCGTGGGCGCTTATTAGAGCAGGTCGCTTATTACGTCGAATACCGTAAAGCGTTTTTTGGGATATCATTTGAACTGTGGCCTAACATGATTTTTCTTGTAGGTGACACTCCTTTGGGGTCAGGGGTCATGAATGACATCATGTATCATCGTACAAAGGAGCACTCCCTCGCACAACAAGAAGCGTCCCTGAAAATACAGTGAGTTTGTTGTTGTTGCTTTAAGTGTTTAAGAGGTCACCTTCTGCCTTAGCAATTTGAGTGAGTGTAATTGATAACACAGAGCTCACAATAAGCTTTTGCTGTTGTGGGTATTTTACCCATGCATTTTAAAATCATTGGGTATCAGTAATTCTATCTGGGTATTCAAATTTCTGTTACCCACTAGTTTTTACACATGTGGGTATTTAAGTTAAATATTTAAAAACACTATACATCTAGTCCCTGCAAACTGGTGTCGTGTGGGTTCGAGAGCTTTATACTCAAAAATACCATGATACTTCAACAAGAAAGTGTGATTGCAAATGATCATGATGTAACTGTCATCGTGGAGTTTGGCAAGGTTGACAGAATGCCCGTTTATAATTTCAAAATAAGTTGCTGATTTGCTAATCGAATACGCAGGGTTACTTCACAATATTTTGATGATATGCACAAGTTTTATTTTTGTAGTGTATCTGTAATGTTCGTTGCGTATTTGATACTTTTGGATTTTATTTTACTGCGTAATCCTGCATTTCTGATGCGTATTTTATGCAGATACGCAGCTTATCTGGAGCTCTGTAACATCTTATGTAGTACGTTAACATAATGTTCAGATGCGCCCTGAGAATTAGGAGATAAAAAACTGTGCTGTGCATCATTCCAAATTCAATTTAGCGCGGTTTAATCTACGGGTAACTTAGCTCTACATTGAAAACGCAGTATGTTTATCTCCCTTCTACCATGACTAAATAAAACACAAACTCTTTGATGCTAGCAAATATATTGAGTGAAGCGGCATGGGTTGAGTCCAGTGTTTTGAGTGGGTTGTCGATCTGAATTACGGATTCAGCAACAACATCCTTAAAATAAAATATGGTGCTGTATATGCTCAAGCATTTTGTTTACACCGTAATATTTCACTCGAACATATGACAGGCTTTGAAAGCATATAACAACGGCAACTTGGAAACTAAAATGAGGTGGGCACACCTAAAGAAAACTAGGCAAGCTTTGCAAAGCTTTCGTTCTACAGTGCACATCACCATTATCATGTCATATCACTCATTGTGACGCAAAATATATGATGTCACAGTCGTATGTAGAAAAGCGCCAAATTCAAACTCTCTGTTGTTCCCAAAACTTAAAATACATTCTCTTGTAGATTTATATCATGTTTTCTGCACGAAATGTATTTCCACAAACTTTTGATTATAGTAACCACCACTTTGAATTTTGTAACTTATGCTTGTAGATATAATTATATGCCTAAAGACAAACCTGAAAAAGTACTAGTTTTATGAATATTAGGTCCGCGGTGATGCGACCATCAAACCAGCTGTTTCAATCAGAGGGGGTTTATTGTGATTTAATAACCTCTGATTATCCAATCAGAATCGAGTAATTTCCAAATTCATGGTAGAATGCCAATTTAAGTCCCTGTGAAAGAACGTGTGTATAAGATGGCCTTTGAAATCATCTATTTATGTCCCTGCGAAAGAACATATGTTTAAGATGACCTCTGGCGTCTAAATAGAGTGGGTGGTCAGGCTTGGTACCCTGACTGCATGGATTGTTGCTTACAATACCCATCACTGGATTGTCTGGCCCAGACGCCAGTCATATTGCTGTGTTTTTAAACAACCAAAAAATAAAAAAAATATTTCATATGGCCTCTGAGAATGTCTATTTAAGTCCCTCTGAATGTAGGTGTGTTAAACATTTAAGATCCTGTGATGTGTATGTTTCAGATAGCCTCTGAGATCGTCTGTTTAAGTCCTTGTGATATGTACGTGTGTTTCAGATGGCCTCTGAGAACGTCTATTTAATTCCCTGTAAATGTACGTGGACCCGTGAAGATCCGGGGTAGAAAAGGTCTTCAGCAACCCATGCTTGCCGTAAAAGGCGCCTATGCTTGTCGTAAAAAGCAACTAACGGGATCGGGTGGTCATGCTCGCTGACTTGGTTGATGCATGTCATCGATCCAAATTGCGTGGATCGATGTTCATGATGTAAATCACTGGAATGTATGGTCCAGACTGCCGTCATATAGCTGGAATATTGGTGAGTGCGGCGTAAAACAACAAACCAAACCAAACCAAAAAATGTATGTGTTTTCAGATACCTGAAGAAGGAACGCCAGAGGCTCCAGGATGCCAGAGAGAGGCTGCGAGAACGGCGGAACAACCTGACGTATGCCCCGTCCCCTGTTGGTAAGGAAACACTGAAGGCCTGGGGGGATAAATACAACCTCTACACCCCCCTGGAGTATAATAGTTTGTTTGAGATCTACTCCCCTCGCTACAGCAAACATTCGCCATTTCTCTCACAAACCCACTGGGCTGACGGTAGGAAATACTCCTTCTACCCAAAACGGTTCTACAGGCGCCGAGGGCCTCGTTTTGTAGCAGTGCCGCTTAGCACTAGCCTTCAGCTGTGGTAGTCACTGACCTGTAACGATCACGTACAGAATTTTACCTAGACTTTCTCATAGGCTGATATTCGTCCACAAACCCGCAGCAAATGTCAGTAGAGCTTATTAAATTAAAATTTCTAATTTCTGTTAATATAGGCTTAAAAAAATAAAAGAATTGGTTCCCAGGCAATGGCTTTTGAAAATATTGTGAGGGCAGGTGCTGTTCTTTTGAGTGGTGGTCGGGGTGGGTGGGTGGTTGTCGAAATCATGTTGTTCTTAAGTATTGTAGCATTTTGCTGCCGGTATCTTGTGTTTGAGATGCAGAATATATAAAGATTATTTTTTAAACGTGCAGCGGACTTTATGATGATGGGGGCAGTGCCTGAGAACCAAGACAAGTATTTTCTTTTAGCCTTGGTTCTAACTAATGTGATGGCTTGGTCAAAGTGACAAATAACATGATAAGAAAGAGGAAGATGCGTAGTTTATGATTACAGCATTGAATGCAATGTTAAAGTACCTCTAAACTTAATATTTTTTTAAGAACTTTGAAATATCCCAAATTTAAACCAAATTCATATTTTCCTAAATTTGCCTGCCAAGGGTGCTTCCTTTGGAATCCTAGATAAATGCCAGCATGTGACAGTCATGTGACATTGGTCATGTGACATTGATCAGAACTTGTGTCTGGATACAGAAGCTGTTTTGTTTTGTAGCTCTCTCTGACCTGGTTTTGCTGAACTGATAAAGTGAAAATCTGTTGATACACAATGCTATTTAGAAAGTGGTCAAATGTAACAAATATTATATTTGGGATAACTCTTTCATAGTAATCTCAATACAAATTTGTACTTTACTAAGGAAATGTTATCCCAAATATAACATTTGTTACAAGAAAGTTCGCTGATTATTAATACTATGATAGGTTGGTCTGTATCGTGCATTTTCAAAATATGTTTATCAAGTAATTAAAAACTCGCAAGTGATTCTATGTCATATGATTGGCTAATTGTAAGTCAATATTTTTCGATTTTATGCTTCCATAAGCCTGAAAAATAATTAGGCCATGCCCATCAGCTGTTTCCTCATTGGCTGTGACAACAGGGTGGGCACTGAAGGCTGTCACTGACTTCATATTGTTGTGTACAGTTGTGTTGATGATTAAATATGCAGTCTGTGAAGTTATTGTGATGTATTGTTAACTTCAATATTGAAAAATTCCGGGGTAGAATAGGTCTTCAGCAACCCATGCTTGCCATAAAAGGTGACTATGCTTGTCGTCAAAGGCGACTAACGGGATCAGGTGGTCAGGCTCGCTGACTTGGTTGATGCATGTCATCAATCCCAATTGCTTGGATCGATGCTCATGATGTCAATCACTGGATTGTCTGGTCCAGACTCGATTATTTACAGACGCCGTCATATAGCTGGAATATTGCTGAGTGCGGCGTTAAACAACAAACCAACCAACAACCAATATTGAATATTGGTATGCAGATTTTTGTAGTGTGCAAATGGTTGTTTACGTTATACCTCCAAAAATGCCCCCCAAAAGAAATATTGAAAATGGAAATGTGGCAGGTATTGAGTAGTAGTAAACCTCCATGTTTGATGCTGTCTGTATAAAATAACAATTATAGACCTGGGACAATGACCTGGGCACTGCGATCTTAGCGCTACGGCTATCATAAACCAGTGTTAAAGTATGGGAGTTACGATCACCTGAGCACTAAGATGACTTTGTGAAATGGGGCCCTGGTACTTTTTCATACACTCATGTTGGGGCACGGGTGGCCCAGTCGTCTAAGGCGCCATGATTCACTGTGCAGAGTTGCGTCCCTTTGGCACGCCAGAAACCTATGATTGTGGGTTCGAATCCCGGTTCGCCCCGATTATGTTTCTAGGTTTGTCAGCACAATACCCGTGCTCGTGGGTTTCACCGGAGTGGTAAACGTCTAAGACCTTCATCAATTAGGGCTTTCCTCCCACATTAAGTTGACACGCTGTGATATAACTGGAATACTGTTAAACCAAACTCACTCACTCACTCTTACACTTTTGGAAAACGTGTTGGAATACTTACTCCTTTATTTACGGATTATGTGTCCAGGGCCCCGTTCCACAAAGGGATCGTAGCCCTGCGACTCGTAAGTCTATGTTAAAGTATGGGAGTTAAGATCATCTTAGCGCTAAGATTGTTTTGTGCAACAGGGCCTGAATCAGCTGTCTACACACAATGTTCGTTAAACTGGTCTTTTTGGGAGATTCTTTAGGTTCAGCATGGAGGTTTTTAGTAAGTATAATAAGATTTTCATTTATCACTTTCAGTTTTTTAGGTCCCTAAACCAGTATTAAAGAGGTATTTTGTAAAGAACTGTTTGACCAGATTGAACAAAGAAAACACCCCCATGTAGGGAACATGATTTAGATATTACAGCTAGACATGACACATCTTTGAATTGTTTTGAAATGAGTCTGTGACCATGACCTCAGGTGTCCTTCATATGACCTTTGTCTGTTTTTTCACAAAGGTCACTTGAACCTTGATGTACTTGTGATAAATAAGCCGACAGTGATTGTTTCGTTGAGTGCTGGTATATAAGTTTATATCCTAATTATATCCAGTGCTATTTTCTCATATCACACTACAGATCTCAGTGTATTTTTACTGTGTTTTATATAGTAGCAATATTCCGTGTTTTTATTCTCACTCTCGTGCCAAATAATTATTGTTAATGTTTTGAATTTGTTCATAATCACTGTTTTTGTCTTGATCACCTGGGGATAACACTCTGTGATATGCAGATGTTTATTAGGCCTCAGGCCGTGCCATAATATGATAAAGAGAATTCGCAACTGGACTTTGTTGTATAAATTCAGGATTCATTAGCGAAACGAGTTGTCTGTGAAGTAGCATAATATTTGACCAATAGAATCGCACTGTTAATTGACTGATTCATATCCTGTTGTCTGTGAAGTAGCATAATATTTGACCAATAGAATCTCACTGTCAATTGACTGATTCATATCCAGTTGTCTGTGAAGTAGCATAATATTTGACCAATAGAATCTCACTGTTAATTGCCTGATTCCTATCCAGTTGTCTGTGAAGTAGCATAATATTTGACCAATAGAATCTCACTGTCAATTGACTGATTCATATCCAGTTGTCTGTGAAGTAGCATAATATTTGACCAATAGAATCTCACTGTCAATTGACTGATTCCTCTCAGTTGTCTGTGAAGTAGCATAATATTTGACCAATAGAATCTCACTGTTAATTGACTGATTCCTATCCAGTTGTCTGTGAAGTAGCATAATATTTGACCAATAGAATCTCACTGTTAATTGACTGATTACTATCCAGTTGTCTGTGAAGTAGCATAATATTTGACCAATAGAATCTCTTTGTAAGCAATGGTAACTTATCTAACATGCCACTTTTATGTCACATGTAAGGGTCTGAAATTAACATAACAAGCTTGTTTGAGACACAAAAAATCCCCATTTGACTTGTGACATTTTCTTGTGGACTACCACTTTTACAATTAACTAGATGGCAACTCTTTAACAGGTCATTTTTGTTGACTAGTGAAAAGAAATGTTAATTTCCAAACCTTCATGTATGACTCTGTAGGCCTGGGCCCACTTGCACAAAACGATCTTGGCGCTAAGATGATCGTAACTCCCATACTTTAACAGAGGCTTACAAGGGTCGTAGCGCTAAGATCGCTTTGTGCAAGTGGGCCCTGGAACTATGTATTGTGAAGGTTTGTATCACAGTGTACCTTGGGCACGCCAGAAACCTATGATTGTGGGTTTGAATCCCGGTTTGCAAAGATTATGTTTCTAGGTTTGTCAGTACCATACCCATGCTCGTTGGTTTCACCAAAGTGGTAAACATCTCAGACCTTCATCACTTCGGGCTTTCCTCCCACATTAAGCTGACACGCCATGATACAACTGGAATACTGTTAAAAGCAGTGTTAAACCCAACTCACTCACTCACTCACTTTGTAAAATGTATGTCACAGTTGTGTCACGTTTATCTTGCACTCATGTACAAGTTGTGACTTCTGTGTTAGATGTACCACCTTCGTCACTTCAGCTCAGTGCAATGTCAGCTCATCTGTCATCTGTTCAGCTCAATCTATATTTGTTGTGATATCTTGAAGGTTATATATCCTTTAAATCTATCAGTCAATACAGCATGCCAAAATTATCATTGATATTGTATTGGGAATATTTTTCAAAATTATATAGTTGTCCTATTAAATCTTCTTTCAGTATTTGCTATCTTTTTGCATTTTATTGAAAATGGTAATTAATTATGTATAATTTAAAAACACTGGAATGTATATCAAAATAACTTTTTCGGAATTTTTTTTATATTCTTTCAGTAATACCTACCTGTCAGCATTTGAAATGGATGTATATTGATATTTCACTAATAGAAACTATATTTATCTAGTTTAGAGCCAAAGACTAATATATTTTAATTATGCTACTGATATTCCTTTAGGGCTAATGTCATATCAGTACGACTTCCTGTAAATTCATCCTTGTCTTGTTAATGTTATTCACCTTGTTGATGATATGTACAGATTTTATATTTTGTAGAAAAACACATAGATTATTTTTTATTGTAGAATTTTATTTATAATTATTGTTATGAAATAAAAAGATGGCTTTACTTTGTCGTCAATTGTGTTATGTTTTCACTTCCTACGGAAACAAGCTCTGGCTTAACAAAGATGATAGATGACAACATTGCACTGGGATGTTAATTCTGCTAGG